TATTGTGTTGAAAATAATAAGAAGAAGAACACACAACCCAAAATAAAAAAAAAAATCTAAAAACTCTAGAAAAAATTGGTTTTCGTATCTAAAGAGGCGATGAAATATTCGATACTGCGCTATGGACGGACAAACGTACGGACGGACAGTTAGTCAGACCGACATATAGCCGAGGCAGTGTTATTTGTTGTACATGTGTAGTTTCAATGACTACATTTTGTTGGATGTTAGATGCGATATTGATGGTTGGATAGCGGGTTGGTTGGTTCGAATGACTGTGTCTGGTTGTTGTAGCTCTTGCTGAGGTGGGTATGGGGTCTGAAGATCGGGTTGGTATGGATTTTTGTTGGTTAAATGCAAAAAAAAAACTAAACAGCAGCAGCAACAAACAGGCAATGTGATCCGAAGGAGATCAAATTTACTTGTATTATGTGTGTATGGTTTTTGTAGTTGTTGTTGTTTTTAACTCGGGTGCGTACTATATGCAAAATGTGGGATGTAATGGGTTGGGCAGAGAAATAAAAAATAATGACTAAAATAAAAATAAACAAAAAATAATAATAATGAATTAATTTATATATTTAATATATATTAATATTTAAAATTTTTTTTTTAATAATTTATAAAAAATTGTATTAAAATTTGTAACAAATATTTTATTATTATTTTTTTTTAAATAATTGACTAAAAAAATATTTTTTATTATTTTTTAAAAGACCTTTTTAGGCCAAAATTTTTGTTATATATTTCTTCATTTGTCTCATTTTTTGCATAGACCTCCACCCCAATACATATGAAAACTTATACCTCCTATTTTTTGTAAAACGTTTTTTCTTGTTCTCGTTTTTTTGTTATTTCGTTGGCCAAATGTATTTCGTAAAAAAATACGTCTATATAATGAGTATAGCTCGTGCTAAAAACTTTGGAGCCATTTAACCACTTTGGCGAATACAATTAAAAAAAAAAAATTATAAAAAACAACAACAAAAACCCTAAATGTATAAAAATTTGATACATATGCAGACAAGTGTATGATGAATGGAAAAATAAAAAAAATATAGAATAGAAACATGGAAAATCAGCTCTGCAAAAAAATAGGAGGCCATGAAACAGAAAATATGAAAATTGAGAAAAATATGAAAATTAAAAAAAAAATAGTGGATTTAAAAAATATTTAAATCATCATAACAGCATAGAATTGTAAATATTTTTTTAAATATTAAAATATTTTTTAAGCACCTATCAGATGCCTCAATTTTTGCAAATATTTCTCAAGGACTATTGGAGGCTGAATTTTTTTTTTAATTTTTTTCTGTGGATTATTGTAGTCCTTCATTAAAAAAATAAAATTGTCTATATGAGGATAGATTTTTTTAACAAACGTTGATATTTTAAAAATATCAATGACTATTCGGATTCTGGAAGTAAAAGAAACAATTTTCAATTACTATTGGAGTTGTGGATTTCTTCAGAAATGTATTTTCGAGGTTTATAAGAGGCCTGGTTTTATTTATGGTTTATTTTGCAAAATATTTATGGGCGACCTAGAGTATTCTAAAATATTTTTCAAGTGATATTAGGGTCCTAGATCTTTTTTTAATATTTTCAAAGAACTATTAGCGTACGGGATTTTTTATACAAAATTTTACTAACATAATTAGAGGTTTGAATTTTACGAAAAAAATATTTAAAAAATGATATAAAAATATTTGTAAAAAACTACCACCACAATGGATTGTGAAAGAAAAATATTTGTTAATCTTTTTTTAAGAAAATGTTTTTCTAGGCACTCAGAGGCCTAGATTTTTTTAATAAATATTTATTCAAGACTATCAGATTATTTTTCAAGGTGACCTTTTCTATCAGACCCTTTTTGTACAAAAAACTTCATGTCTCTCATTTTCTTAAACAATCTGAATGGTGACAGTTCTTAAAAAAATATTTTTAAATGTAAAACGAATTCGATACTCCTTAAAATATATTTTTAAAAATTGCAGGACTCTGATAGTATTTGAAAATAATATTAAAAAAAAATATTACATTGACAAAATCTTTTTAGAAGGAAGGACGAAATATTTTTTTACCAGGTTTATTCAGTTACCTGGAGATTCAAAGAAAATATTTTTTCTTCAAACTATTCGAAGACTATTAGATCCTTGGATTTTCTATATTTTTGAAGAAATAACAGAAGCCTGAATTTCTAAAAATTAAAAATATATTTTTAAGGACTATCAGAGGCCTTATATTATTAAAAAATATATTTTTTTGAGTCCTTAAGAACGGATTTTGAAAACTATTATTTGAGACAATGAAGAATGTATATTTATACCCTTCACCACTCTGTGGTACAAGGTATTATGTCTTTGTGCATATGTTTGCAACAGGCAAAAGGAAACGAGATAGACACATGGTTCCTTTTGAAAATATGCATAAATTCACTTTCTGAATTGATTTATGCATGTCCATCTGTCCGTCCGTCTTAATTTGCTTAATTTGCACGAAATTTGGCATAACGTACTGAATTATGTCTAGAGTGATATCTGCCAAGTTTCGTGAAAATCGGTTCAGATTTAGATATAGCTCCCATATATATTTTCGTCTGATTTAAGGAAAATGGGGCACCAAAGTCCATATATATTTTTTCCATTTACACGAGATTTGGCATAGGGTACTGAATTAGGTCCAGAATGATGTATGCTAAGTTTCGTAAAAATCGGTTCAGATTTAGATATAGCTCCCATATATATTTTCGTCCGATTTAATGTAAATGGGGCACCAAAGTCACTATATATCCTTCGATTTGCACGAAACTTGGCATAGTGTACTGAATTGGGCCTTAAAGGATTTCTGCCAAGTTTCGTGAAAATCGGTTCAGATTTTGATATAGCTCCCATATATATATATATATATATACGTTTTTCGATTTGCCCGAAATTTTGCATAGAGTACTGAATTAGGTCCAGAATGACGTGTGCTAAGTTTCGTGAAAATCGGTGCAGATTTAGATATAGCTCCCATATATAGTTTCGTCCGATTTAATGTAAAAGGTGAACTAAAGTCCCTATATACCCTTCGATTTGCACGAAATTTGGCATAGCGTACTGAATTGGGCCTGGAATGATTTCTGACAAGTTTCGTGAAAATCGGTTCAGATCTAGATACAGCTCCTATATATATTTTCGTCCGATTTTATGAAAATGGTGCACCAAAGTCTTTATATATCTTTCGATTTGCACGAAATTTGGCACAGCGTAATGAATTAGGTCTACAATGATGTGTGTTAAGTTTACTGAAAATCGGTTCAGATTTAGATATAGCTCCCATATATATTTTCGTCAGATTTAATGTAAATGGTTCACCAAAGTCCATATATATCTTTCGATTTGCACGAAATTTTGCATAGGGTCCTGAATTAGGTCGAGAATGATGTGTGCACAGTTTCGTAAAAATAGGGTCAGATTAAGACATAGGTCCCATATATATTTTTGTCCGATTTTATGAAAATTGTGCACCAAAGTCCCTACATATCTTTCGATTTGCACGAAATTTGGCACAGCGTAATGAATCAGGTCTTCAATGATGTGTGTTAAGTTTCCTGAAAATCGGTTCAGATTTAGATATAGCTTTTATATCTGACCAAATGAAAAATTTAGTATCGGTTGCAGAATGACATGTTTATGGATCCAATTTCATTTTACTGGTCCTTTAAAAATGCGATGTCTGTTAGGATTCATCTGTTGAATATACCCAAAGTGGTGAAGGGTATAATATAGTCGGCCCTGTCCGACTTTACTACATTCCTTACTGGTTTTTCATCTGTCTTTGATAGTTCTTACTGTCATTAATGGCTCTGTTAACCCTTTATAAAATATTCATAAAAAATCTAATTTCACAATTATTCTGACCATTTTCTGTCAAGTATCTCAGGTTCCACTGTGATCTTGTTTGTATATTTGATCCACATATAAACATTTTTTTCTCTTCCCTCTCTTATTCGATAGTAGGGAGATGAAATTTCATGATTGTGTATATATTTTCAAAACAAACAAGAAGAAAAAGAAGAAGAATGAAAATCGAAGAACCGACGATCAAGGAACGTTTGAGAATATAATTGAAATATCTGTTTAGAATTTCGTAAGCATTGGCGGAATGATCGGACGGTGGGTAGGTCGTTTGGTGTGGTGCAAAAAAAAAATATCTAATTTTCGAAACGTGGAAGAAGAGAAATACAATTTTCCAAAAGTGTAACAGAAAGACTAGAAAAGAAAATGTGACAGACAAATGGTGTAACATTGGGCGAAGAAGACAGAAACATTCATGCATGGATGTATGGTTGGAGTATTAGAATATAGAGAGTCGATTGGGCCGGCAGCAGCAGAATATTGCATGCGGTGTTCTTTTTTGAGATATTTTTAAGATTTGTGTTCTTTCATTTTACACAATCAATGAATGACGGTGTGGTGTAGTGTGGCAGGCATGCCATGGCATACAGAGAATGAAAGAAAAACACGAACAACAACAACAACAGCAAAACATAAAATGCGTAACCAGAAGCTAAGCAGCTATCCATACGATACGATTATATTTCAAAATAAGAAAAACGGACAGAACAGCAGAACAGAACAACACATCTAGGGGGGCAAGATTTCAGATTTCACGATACCCACGCAAAGTCTAAAAACAAATTAATGAACAACAACAATAAGAATATGAATACGAAAATACTTTGGAAATATATGGCCCAAATATTTATTTCAAAATTATTTATATTATTGAAATTAATAATAAAAATTGGAATAAAAAAAATCTAAAAATATATTTTATATAAATAATAAATAAATTTAATAATTAATAAAAAATATTTTTTTCTTCTTCTCTTTACAGTTTTGTAGACAAACAAAAATAAATTTGAAAACAACACCGATTATGTATTAATTAATTGTGCAAAAAACTTCAAAAAATATTGAAAACCATACAATCCATCTGTCCCGCTGCAACAACATGCTACAACATCCCGCCACTGATTTCTATGACTTGGCTGCAGCCAATGCTGCGGTTTTAAGTTCACGTCAAACGCCGCCCTACAGCCCTACGGGTCTAACGGTTTCGGGTTTAACTAATAACAACAACACCACTACCAGCAACAATAATTTAGATATGCTCAGCCATAATGGTGGATTAGCGAATAGTACGACTGGTGTTGGAGGAGGTGGTGGCGGAGGCGGTGGCAGCAGTACAGCCCATATGCTGGCTAGCCAAAATAGTAGTACAAATGGTGGCGCCTCGAATGGCGCTAATGGCGGTCGTGAATCGCTGCCTAGTTTCGGTTTCACCCAGGAGCAGGTGGCATGTGTTTGTGAGGTAAGTGGCAAAAAGGAAACAAAGAAAAAATTTTAAAATTATCTGGAAGTCCTTGAAAATATTTTAAAAAATCATTATTTATGATAGTCTTTAAAAATATATATATTTTAAATACCTAGAACTCCGATAGGCCTTGAAAAATATTTTTAAAGGACTTAAATTGTCCTAATTTGTTTTTTTAAATTTTTTAAATTACCGGAAACTGGTAGTCCTTTAAAATACATTTTAAAATCCATGACTCAAATAGTCTTTGAAAAAAATATTTTTAAAAAATCCAGGATTCTGATAGTCATTAAAAAAATTTTCAGATTTCGAAACTCTAAACTTTCTTTAAAAATTATTTTTAAAAAATCCAGGACTTTGGAAGTCCTTAAAATATTATTAAAAATAAATTCAGTACTCTTATAGTCCCGAAAAATGTTTTTAAATAAAAATTCAAGGACATACTCACTACCATAGTCCTTAAAATATATTTTTAAAAATTTCAGGATTTTAATCGTCACTCAAAAAGAAAAAAACTAGTCCCCGAAACAAATTCAGTCATTGAAAAAATATTTTCAACAATTTTAGAATAATGAAAATCATTGAAAAAAAAAGATTTTTGAAGATTCCACGATCCTGAAATTCCCTGAAAAAAACATTTTAAAATTTTAGGACTAATAAAAAATTTAAATAATCCAGGATTCCGGTAAAATTCGAAAATTATTTTCAATAATTTCAAGACATTTCAAACCTTCACGACTCTGATAGTCCTTAAAAAATATGTTTGAAAATGCCAAAACACTGAAAATATTTTTATGGGCTATCGGAATAATTTTAAGCACATTCAAAAAAAAAAAAAACAATATTAAAAACATATGTAAAAAATCATTAAAAAACTATTTAAAGAAACATTATTCAAAAAATCCAAAATTATTGAAACAATATTAAAAACAAATTAAAAAAATTAGAAATCCTTAAAAAATATATTTAAAAAATCCACAATCGCTAAAAATATATTTAAAAAGGACAAGCCTTTAAAAATATATATTTTTAAGAAATCCAAAATCCTTGAAAAAAATATTTAAAAAAGTCAAAATACTTGATTTTTTTTAATACAACCCGTAAGGAAAGCAGTAAAGTCGGACGGGGCCGACTATATGATACCCTTCACCACTTTGGGTATATTCAACAGATGAATCCTAACAGACGTCGCATTTTTAAAGGACCAGTAAAATGAAATTGGATCCATAAGCATGCCATTCTGCAACTGATACTAAATTTTTCATTTGGTCAGATATGGAAGCTATATCTAAATCTTAACCGATTTCAGGAAACTTAACACACATTATTCTAGACCGTATTCATTAAGCTATGCCAAATTTCGTGCAAATCGATAGATATATAGGGACTTTGATACGCCATTTACATTAAATCGGACGAAAATATATATGTGAGCTATATCTAAATCTGCACCGATTTTCGCGAAACTTAGCACACATCATTCTAGACTAAATTCATTGCGCTGTGCCAAATTTCGTTCAAATCGAAAGATATATAGAGACTTTGGTGGACCATTTACATTAAATCGGTCGAAAATATATATTGGATCTTTATCCAAATCTGAACCGATTTTCAAGAACTTTTATATACATCATTCTAGACTTAATTCAGTACGCTATGCCAAAATTCGTGCAAATCGAATGATTTTCAGGGACTTTAGTGCACCATTTACCTAAAATCGAGCGAAACTATATATGGGAGCTACATCTAAATCTGAACCGATTTTCAAGAAATTTTACACACATCATTCTAGGCTCAATCCAGTACGCTATACCAAATTTCGTGCAAATCGGAAGGGACATAGGCATATTATTTACCTAAAATCGGGCGAAACTATATATGCGAGCTATATCTAAATCTGAACCGATTTTCACGAAACTTAGCACACGTCATTCTAGACTTAATTCAGTACGATATGCCAAAATTCGTGCAAATCGAATGACTTTCAGGGACTTTGGTGCATCATTTACCTAAAATCGGGCGAAACTATATATGGGAGCTATATCTAAATCTCAACCGATTTCAAAAAATTTTACACACATCATTCTAGACTCAACCCAGTACGCTATGCCAAATTTCTTGCAAATCTGAAGATATATAGGGACTTTGGCATACCATTTACCTAAAATCGGGCGAAACTATATATGGGAGCTATATCTAAATCTGAACCGATTTTTACGAAACTTACTACTCCTCATTCTAGACTCAATTCAGTGCGCTATGTCAAATTTCGTGCAAATCAAATGATATATAGGGACTTTGATACACCATTTATATTAAATCGGACGAAAATATATATATGAGCTAATCTAAATCTGGACCGATTTTCAGGAAACTTAACACACACCATTCTAGGCCTATTTCATTACGCTGTGCCAAATTTCGTGCAAATCAAATGATATATAGGGACTTTGATACACCATTTACATTAAATCGGACGAAAATATATATGAAAGCTATATCTAAATCTGAACCGATTTTTGTTTAAAATTTTAGTTTTTCTATACATTTATTTGTTTTTATATTGTTAATTAAATACAAAAATTACCCACTTAAATTACATTCTATACGACATAAATACTGCTCATCATCCCCACATCTATCTCTCTGTGTTAGATTAGATCACAACTAAAAATTTACATTGTATAAACAGAAAAAAACATTTAATGTATTACCATTAATTTTCTTTTTTGTTGACATTATTTATTTATCTCTCTCACATTTCCCCTCTCACTCTCTTTTTCCCTCCTCTCTCTCTCTCTTTTACAGGTGTTACAGCAAGCTGGTAATATTGAAAGACTGGGCCGTTTTCTATGGTCATTGCCACAATGTGATAAATTGCAATTAAATGAATCTGTGCTAAAAGCCAAGGCCGTTGTTGCATTCCATCGCGGTCAATATAAAGAATTGTACCGATTGTTAGAACATCATCAATTCTCACCTCACAATCATTCAAAATTACAAAATCTGTGGCTAAAAGGTGGGTGGATTTTCGGTTTATTTTTTATTTCTAATAATTCGAAATTTCGTAATATTTTATTTCGTTGTTCTCTCTTGTCTTATCTCTTTGTATGTGTGATGTGTGTTGCTGTGTGTGTGTGTATTATAGCTCATTATGTGGAAGCCGAAAAACTGCGTGGAAGACCATTAGGTGCTGTGGGTAAATATCGTGTTCGCCGTAAATTTCCACTGCCTCGCACAATATGGGATGGCGAAGAAACAAGTTACTGTTTTAAGGTAAGTTCGAAATATATTTTTTTCACTCTCTTGGTTCACCAGGGGTTCCCGGAATCCTTGTTGCCCAAAATTCATTCATGCCTAACATAACATCGTTTTTGTGGCAGTGGTGAAGATGATGGTGGTGGGGATTTTTAACTTGTTCCTTGAAATGAAATCATAGTAATGTAACGTTTTACAATAACATAACATACTCGTATATGAATGAATCAATATATGTAACAGTTTGTTTCCTTTCGTTACGATATGTTACTGTTGCAAGGAGGGGGCAGAGAAGATGTTATGGGAAAAATGTTCCCTTATAACACTTTTGTTGGCAACTGTTGTAAATGGGGTTGCAATTTCGAGTTTTATTTTTTTTTTGCCAATTTCACATTTTGAACTTTTCCCTGATTTTTTTTTTGTTTTCAAAAGGCTTCATTTGATTAAATGTTTAAAGGGGGGGTATTTTGTGGGAAACAATTTCAATATTTACATTGTATTTAATTAATAACTGAAGATTAATCTAATTATTTTTTGTATCCTTGCTTTGTTTGTTTTTTCTTCTCTCGGTGTAGGAAAAATCTCGTTCCGTGTTACGAGACTGGTATACGCACAATCCATATCCATCGCCACGTGAAAAACGTGAATTAGCCGAGGCAACAGGACTGACAACAACACAGGTAAGTGAATTTTTTTGTGTTATGAACTTAGAGGATATGTCGATATTTGACAGTCCTTGAATAAAAATTACATCGTTGATAGCTTTTTAAAAGAAAATGATTTAAAAAAATGTTTTATAAGCTCTTAGAAAATATTTTTAAAAACATCCAAGCCTCACTTGAAAAAAAACAGCCAAAACAACAAATTTAAGGAATCCAAGACGACGATATTGCTCAAAAAATATTTTTACAAAAATCTCAGCCATTTAAAGTTTGTGAAAAATATTTAAAAATAAAACACTTTAGAAAATATTTTTTTTTATTTTTAAATATGAAAGGTGATAGTATTATTAAAAAAGGTACAAAAATAATGAAAAAAGTATTTTATTCCATAAAAAATATATATTTTTAAAAAATCCAAAGCCACAAAAAATAAAAAAAATAGAACAAGGAAATTTGTTGAAATTATTTTAAAAAAAAATAGGACTTTGAAAGGGTAAATGGTGGTATTTGAAAAAAAAATTAAATAATCTACGATAATCCACTAAAAAGTTTTGATACAAAAACAGGACAATACTGATCCTAAAAAAAATATTTAAAAATTTCAGGATAATTATGATACTCGAAAAAATATTTTGAAAAATTCAGAGCAGTGTTGAACCTAAAAATATATGGGCAATATTGCCAATTTTTTAATATTGCATTTTCAAAAAATCAGCTTTTTTGTTTTTGTAGCACATCAATGATTTTTGGTACACATATAGAGAAAAATGTTCTGACTCCGAAACCGTTCGCGATCAAATTTTTGGTTGATGCGCGCAAAAGTTATCGAGGTATTAATTTTGGGCATAAGAAAAAAATCTTAAAATTACGCCGTTTATTATATTGACCAAAAACGTTGATATATATCTTCCTCCGTAAAATAAGAATATGAATATATTATAATAATCGCGAAAAAGTTGTACATCTTCGCGAAATATGAGAAATGTAATAAAAATATAGGAGATTACGTCAATATTTTCATTATATTAATGACATACACACACACCTAAAAATTAATTTAAAAATATCTACATAATCTAAACACCATGGTGAATCAAATGATATCAAAATCACACAAGTCCGTGTAGCGGTTTCTAAATCACAGCGACAACAAAACAATATATTGAGAAAAAATATTTGTTTTTGGTTCGAAAAAATAATGTCATCATATTTATTTTTTTAATTTTTTATACAAGAAAATTCAGAAAAAAATTTTGGGGTTATTCTGCTATTTTACCCGAATTCCGCCGAAAAATTGGCATATATATTAATAATCACTTTTTGTGTGTAAGTATACGCCTTGTGGATTATATCAAGACCCTTCCGATAAATCTTAGAATTCTATAAATAGGAATGAATCTTAAAATAAAATAATATTATGAAATATACATTTTAAATTGCGTGTAAATCGCGTAATTCTCAAAATCATTTGATGCGCATGCGGTTTCCAGGAAGTACTGAAGTTTATCTTCCAATCCATGTATATTTTGCGAAATTTCATTTGACAGCTAAGATGTGCCACACGTTACATTGAAGTACCCAAAAAATCGTAAAACGGGAATAATTTCCGAAAACTCCATATGCCATTAACGCGCATCCGATTTCGGTGTGCACCCTAAAAAAAATACATCGATCTATACCGATTTCAATGTAGTCCATTAAGAACCATGGATGTGCCAGCATAATCTATTTTTGAGATAAATTGCGTCTAAATCGCGTAATTCTCAAAATCATTTAATGCGCATGCGGTTTCCAGGAAGTACTGAAGTTTATCTTCCAATCCATATATATTTTGCGAAATTTTATTTGACGGCTAAGATGTGCCGCACGTTACATTGAAGTACCCAAAAAACCGTAAAACGCGAATAATTTCCGAAAAACTCCATATGCCATTAACGCGCATCCGATTTCGGTGTGCACCCTAAAAAAATACATCGATCTATACCGATTTCAATGTGGTCCATTAAGAACCATGGATGTGCGAGCAAAATCTATTTTTGAGATAAATTGCGTACATCTCTCTTTTTGAAGTTTTTAAAGTTCTCTTTTCGAAAAAGATCAAAATCCGTATGAGGTCATTTATTGAAGCGGAAATGATACACAGAAAACGCAAATAAATCCGCGATATTTTCAAAAACATTTTTTGCCAAATTTCGTGCTTTTGGAAGACCAGTTCCCGCCGTTCTAGTAGATGGATTTTCACGAAGAAGATTTTATATCATCCGAAACGTAAAAAACCTTATTGATCGCGGGTACCCATATCATTCAGTTGACAGATTTAAAAATTTGGCCCGAAAAATAGGTATTTTAGAAATTTGATCGCACAAAATTCGCACCTTCGGATGAGTATTACTCTGAAGCTGTTCATAATACATACACAAAATACATATCAAATTACGCAGATTCGCGACTACAATAATCTTATAATTGATTTTTATAAATTCCTGTTTGCGTATTAAAGCTAGAAGTAAAATTAAAAAAACACTCAAAATCGAGCTTCAAAATGTGAGCATCATTTAAAGGTAGATGCAGTTAAAATTTTGAAAAATGATACATAAGGGGCGTAGTCCCCATTTTGTTGGCTTCCAGTTTTATTTTGACACGAAGACCGTGCAATGAGTGGCTTAGTCACAAATCGATAGAGAACATAAAAAAACTGGTTCGCATCAACGTCTTTTTACACATTTTTTTACATTAAAGTAGACACAGCTTCCACCAAAATAAAGTTTGGAGGTCAATATCATGAACAGTTTGCAACGACAGATCAATTAACCCAAAACTATTCACTTTATATCATATACTTAAGTAGTTCCCGAGTTATAAAGGGGTGAACCTCCGCTTCAGCTATGTTAAAAAATTGGCAATATTGCCCATATATATATATTTAAGGAAAAACCCAGAACAATGTAGATTCGAAAACAATATAAAAAAGAACTGTAAATATCCTTAAAAATATTCCTGGATAAAAATTATTACTATTCTTAAATTGATTTCGAAGAAAATCAGTCGGACGGGGCCGACCATACGATACCCTACACTACTACCACAAAACTCTATTTTTCTCTGGATTTTTATTTCGAGCCTGGGTAACATTTCGTGATAGTTACACACTCTTGCCCGATTAGAGTCAACAGCATATCTTCCTTACACTGATATATTTTCCGAATATTCCCAATATTCAGTACAGCCCTTCTAATTACTTATCCAGTTTCCCTTCACCGACATCCGAGACCAAACAACAATATAATTGGTATCACTTTAAAGGTCAACCACTCCTCTTGGATATACTATCAACTTATCGGTTCTATGTCCTTCAGGGGCAAATATATACGCCATGTAATACAAATTTTGTCATTTTTCACACAAAAGTCAGGGTCCATTTGACCCCCTAAATATTGACCAATCTTTATAAAAACAGGCATGCTTATTCTTTGGCCCAATCCCCTTCTCCATGTACAATTTCGTGAAATTATGGCCCGAACCATAATTTCGGCCTCAAAAACAATAGGGGTCTTCATTGGCCAGAACCCATCCTAAATGGAAAATTTCGTGAAGATTGGCCCATAACTGTGGCCTGTATCGTGTTTACAAATTATAATGGACAGACGGACGGATGGACGGACACACATGTCTAGAACTTTTTTTAATAAACAATTTATAAAAAAATAAATGAATACAGTACCATGATAATCTTCGAAATTTATATTAAAACCAGTAAGGAATGTTCAAAAGTCGGACGGGGCCGACCAAAATTTTGTCTCAATCGAACCAAAATTGCGAATATGGTGCACCATTTACCTAAAAGCGGACGAAAGTATATATGGGAGCTATATCTAAATCTGTACCGATTTCAATGAAACTGCACAAATATCAATCTGGACTTAATTCAACACGCTGTGCAAAATTTTGTTTCAATCGGAAAAATAGTGGAAGTTTGGTGCACCATTTATATAAAATCGGACCAAACTATATATGGGTGCTATATCTAAATCTGAACCGATTTTTCTCAATTTCGATAGGGTTCGTCTTTGGGTCAAATAAGTGACCTATGCCAAATTTCATCCAAATCGGATCATAAATTCGACCTCTACTATGCTCACAAAAATTTATGGACGGACGGACATGCATAAATCGACTCAGGTAGTGACACTATGCATATTCTCAAAAGGAACCATGAGTCTATCCCGATTCCTTGTACCTGTTACAAACATATGCACAAAGACATAATACCCTGTACCACAGTGTGGTGAAGGGTATAAAAATCTCCGCCTTTCTTCGTATTAGAAAAAATTATCCAAGATTCTGAAAGCTCTAAAAAAATATTTATTTTTTAAATCAGGACTATGATGATTTTTGTAAAAATATGTTTAAAAATCCAAGACTTTTATATTGCTTAAAAATTCCCTTAATTTTTTTCTAGAAAAAACACAGAAAAAATATTTTCAAAAAGAGAATACTATTACGCCTTTGATAGACCCTTAAAAATAAAAAACTCAAGAAAAATATATTTTTTTGAAATCCAGGATTATGATGATCTTTGAAAAAATCTGTTTAAAAAATCCATGACTTTGATAGTCCTTGAAAAACATTTATGACAAATTTAAAATTGAGACAGTTCTTAAAAAATATTTTGCAAAATTCTTGGACTCTTAAAGTCCTTGAAAAATATATTTTCACATTCAGGGTAAGCATGATTCTATTTTTTTTAATATCAGGCAATGTTAGTCCTTGGATAATATTTTTAAAAAATCAGGACTCTTTCATTATTTGTAATTCTTTGAAAGTCCTTGAAAGTGTATTTTTGAAAATATCGAAACCAATGCTAATCCTTTCTAAACTATTGTAACATATTTCACATTTCTGAAGCCATTGATAAACATTTAAAGGAATCCACGACAAGTGTTTTTTTAATATTTTCGATGACTTCTAAACATTAAAAATTTTTAAAAATTATTTTTTCTTAAATATTTTTTAATCCAGACCTATGAAAAATAATAATAATGACATTTGAAAATATATATTAAAAAATTTAGGAAAATATTTTTTAAATCCACCTTTTATACAGCAATTGAAATTAGACCAGCCCAGGCATATTATAGTCATTATTTTATTTAATTTTGTTCCTCTTATAGTCCTTAAAAAATATAGTTGAAATTAAATTTTTTTTAATTTATTTTAAATTGTCTTCAAAAATTTTCCCAAACATTTTCTTTACCTTAAAAATATATGTTTAATTCATTTATGGAATTTATTTTAAATTGCCTTTAAAAATATTCCCAGAAATGTTTTTTTCTTCTAATTTAAAATACGTATTTTAAAATTTCATTACTCGTATTAAAATATTTTATTTTAGTTTCGCTGACGATGTTTTTTTTTCAAACTCATTAAATTCTGTCAAAACAACTATAAGCGAAAATGTCATTTCATTACAAATGGCAGGCGAGATGATGATATGAAGAATAGATATATGCAGCAAAGAAAAAAAAGACATTACGTTTGACATCATTTTTGACAAATAAGTGTAATAGAAATATTATTACAAAGACAAGGGAAAAATACAACAAAAACTAAAAAAGTAAAGAAGAAATTTTGTAAGGCAAAAATATCCAAATGTTGCTATTGCGGCAATGATGAAATTCCGATATGAAAGATAAACCAACATTCGTCATGAAAAACTAAAAGTAAAGAACAAATTTAAAAAAAAACGAACAAATTATGAAATTAATGTTGAAAAGGCTCATTAATCACGGCTAATGGGGTGTGGAAGTTGGCGGTTTTTTTCGAGTGGGGAGGAGAGTTATTTTTAACAAGAAAAATAATTTTTTATAAAACTTTTTATATACCTTTTTTGAGTAATGAAGGAATTATTGTATTTTTATTTTATATTAAATAATTCATATTTGTTTTAAATTTGTATATATATATATATATATATATATATAGTCGACTCCGCTTTACTGGAACGGAAAAAAATATTGATGTTTGTTTCTGTTATCCGATGTTTTCACTTAAGCGGATTTTGGTTAACTGCTTAAAGGATTTTTATTATGAACAGTATTTTTTTATGCGGAACGGATTTTTTTTTTCGATTTTTTCAAATGGTTTTAAAGATTGGCCGAACGAACTCAACGTTCTTCGACGTCAAATTTATATATACTTGACACACACGTTCCATACATCGGAAAAATAATGAATTGCAGAAAAATATCTGTTAGGGTGGGCTTTGAAGGTGTTTCTTCCTCAATGCAGAATATTCTCTCATTATCCTTCACTCTCACGATTTTCAGTAATGCGGAGTGATTTGAAAGGAAAATGCAATATTTGACTTCAAAGCTATTTCAGTTATACGATATTTTCAGTTATTCCAAGTTTCACTTATGCGGTGTAAATTGTGAGCGATTAACCTAAAATGTAATGGTGCAGGAAATCAATTTCACTTATCCGATATTTTTCAGTTAAGCGACTTACAGTAAAGCGGAGTGGACTGTATATATATACTTTTTTGTCGATTAAATCCAGCCCCTAGGATTATTCAATGGACAATTCTAAGCAACTTTGGTGAAGGAACCATGGGTCTATCTCGATTATCGAGTCCCCCTCTTTTTATAAGGCTCCATACCAATTTTTCGGTCCATACAAATTGTCCCGACCTAATACATATATTTTAATATATATAATACTTTTTCTATTATTTTAATGTATTTTTTATTTTCATTTTTATTTTTTTAATTAAATATTTATTTTATATATGAAATATATATATATATATATAACAAATTTCCTTATTTATAATTTTATTTCAGGTTTCCAATTGGTTTAAAAATCGACGACAACGAGATCGAGCTGCCGAACATAAAGAGTAAGTACTATAAGACTATTTTCAATTTTTAAAAATTATTCTAAAATGTAAAAAAAAAATCTGAAATAGCAAACAAATGATCAATCTGTCATCTAAAGGTTACACAAAAAATGTTTTTTTCCGAAAAAAAAAATTCTTGAAAATTAATCTTCATTAAGAATTTTGTGTAAAAAAAATTAGCTGTGTTACTTTAGCTATTGTGATGGTCAAAAAAAAATAAAAATAAACAAGGTGAAAAATTCATGAGTATTACAAGATGAATATTGTTTTTCTCAAAATATAAATATATTCTTCATTGCTTCTATTTTACGTATAAAAACAACAACAAAAAATATGTCAAGGTTTTATATTTTTTTTCAAAATATATTATATTTTAATATTTTCTGTTGGCGTATCTTTGCAAAAATATATATTTGCATGGAAAACAATTTTCGTTGCAAAAAAGAAATTGTGGCGACTTATTTTATATTTTTGCTACAAAAACAACAACAGCAAATAATGAAATACACGACAGCAACAACAAACCATAACAAATGAATATATCAAATGTTCACAGGCAGAGATATGTATAAATTTTGCCAAGAAAAATATTAAATGGAAATATATAAAATATTTGTTTTACAATATATTTTTTTGATACACCATTTTCAAAATTTTTGGTGGATAGGAAAAATTATTTGAAAAAATTTTAAGTTTTGAAAAATTAGTTTTCCAACTACTTCAAATTCTATATAATTTAATATATCTTAAATATCATTTTTATTATTTTTTATTACTTTTTTATTTTATTTTGCTTTGTCTTGAAAATTGATTCTCTAAGCACTTCAGATTCTATTTATTTTAATTTTGATCTCCACATGTATTTGTCAAATAGTTTTTTTTTCTATTTTCTACACCAAATGGCGCTTAAGTATTTTGTGGAATTTGTTGTTTTCCTATCTTCCGTCTACCCACACACACACCCAGCTCAACAAATCCTTGTCAAAATGGCCATCACGCATGTCCACATATGTTAAAAGGATTCTGTTTTGTCGTTCATTCTTTGTTTATGTCCTGATCAGCCAAATGTAAATGTAAACAAAACAATTTTTAACTTTTCGTCTTGTTTTTATTTGCCCACTTTTTCTGAAGTGATACCTAAAGGCGGAAATCATTTTCCATCATTGTATGCATTGATGATATTGAAAAACCATTGCCATTTGTCCACAGCTGGACAACCAACGGACAATTGGTACTAAATAAATATTTAAAGAGTTATTAGAATAATGAAGTAGACAATTCAAAAATATGTTAATCATTAGGAAAGGAGACAAAGTAAAAACACATTTCCGACATTTGAAGTCAATACGATAGTTGTTGAAGTCAATAAGTTACAATATGGTTTGGATTTGAAATCAGATGGAATTAGCAGTTGACACTGGAGGTCTGATCTTGAAAAATAATAATAATAATAAAGAACTAGAAAAATACATTTCCTTCCCCCTGTATAAGAAATTCACAATCTGGAGACTAGCATTGAACTTCTCTAGTAAGTAAAAAGTAAATGGATTCGAAACTTTTTTTGAAAAAAAATTATAAACATGTATCTGAAAAATATTGGCGCTTATAGCTCTGATAGTCCTTTGATAAATAAATATTCCTAAAAAAAATCCACCTTTATAATTCTAAAAGAATATAAAAAATTATCTTAAAAATTGTATGTCTACATTTTGAATAATCATTTAAAAACTATTCTTAAAAACCACTCAGGTCATATTATTTTGAAATTCTCGATCAAGTTCTAATATGCAGAGAAATAGAATAAATAGTTCAACAAAAAAAAAACAATTCCGCAATGGAAACGATCGGCACTAAATCCCGATATTTCGTTTAACTAGTTCCATTTGTTCCAGTCGTTCAAGTTACATCTCGTTTATTTAGCTCTAATGAATGATTGAACTAGATGAATGAACTAGTTATTTTCGTGAACCGTGATTGCCCAACTATGAAACTATAGGCACAGCAAACAAATATTCGTCAACGTGCGGACTGAATTCTGCCAGAAAATGTCGTTCCGCAATGAAATATTTCAAAGATCAGTACTAAGTCTAGATTTTTCATTCATCTAGTTTGCTATTTGCTCCAGTCGTTCATTTTACCTATTCTTCATTCCGATTTTCTCGTTCATTTATTCGAACCAACTCATATAGTTCCAAATAATGAATTAACGATTGAACTACATAAATGACCTAGTTCCTTTTTGTAGAAGGTGTTGGCCCAACTTCAGTACAAACCCAGGAAACAAATATTCACCACCGTTCTGACATAACGCAGTCAGAAAATGTCGTTCCTTTTGCTCCAGTCGTTCATTTTACCTCTTCTTCACACCTGTTCATATAGTACCAATGGCCCAATGAACGATTGAACTACATGAATGACCATGTTCGTTTTATAGAATGTGATTGCCCAACAAACAAATATTCGCAGACGTTCGGAGAAATTTCAGTCAGAAAGTGTCGTTTCGCAAAAGGAACTATAGTTCCGGCTAGTTCATTTTACTCCATTCGTTCGTTTTACCTTTCGATTGTGTCGATCTTCTCGTTTATTTAGTTCCACCATCTCATATAGTTCCAAAGAACCAATAAACTATTAAACGAGATGAATGACAAATGAATTTGGAGCACACCGTTCGAAGCACTTCGGGAAGGTGATAACAGAACTCAAGTGCAAAACAGAAAACAAATATTAACCAATTTTGGGGTGGAATTCTTTCAGAAAGTCGAAAGAAACTTCTCCTAGATTTCATGGCAAGTTTCAAATCAGAACTCGGTCCGAAAGCAGACAAAAACTTTTTTTGCTAAAAAGATCCGCTTCATAGCTTTTCAATGAGATTTAAACTTGCTGCTGAATATTTGAAAGGAATACCTTCTCAGTGGAATTTGTTCGGTTCCTATTTTCAATACTCGTGGCTGGAAAACTCCGTTCGGTCTTCGGAGGTTTCATGCATTGGCTCTTCACGAAGTTTCCTTGCTAACAGTCCACTTTTATGATTCATTTTTTTCTTCATCGGAAAACCTCATGATCTTCAGGAGTTTCTGGGAGTTTTTAAAATGTATTCTGTTCTTCCGAATTAAATAACTGCGTTCACAATTTCAGAAGAATTTTAAGGACACATGACAACAAAGACCTTTTGAGCCTTTAGTTTCGGGTATTATGGGTTGAATATTTTCCTCGATTTGTTTCATGTACGGCTGGCCTATTTTGAAAAATGAATCGAGATTCATTATTTTTAAACTTCGTCCGTATTTTATTTACATTTCGATTGGAGCGAGGAGTTAATAAAGGAAAATATGAATTTTGAAGTTCTGATTTCTGATATGTCTGAACAAATTAAAATATGAGGAAACGCCAAATTGAAGAATTCTCTCTAAAATTTTAAAAATAAAATGAGACTAAATCTGACAGACATGAATTCCTTCCGAGATCTGTCAGATATGTCTAAATACAATTAAAATTCGAAAATTTTCAATCGAACAAAAACAAAAGAATATCAAATTTATTATACTGGGGTCATTATATTCACGAACAAGATCTAGTTCAATGGAACGACTCACTGAAAAGTGCCCACGAATTTCTCCTGATTTATATTCCCGAAAACATTATAGAGCAGGCAGATTCCGATAGGTAGATACAATTTTTTCTTATTTTAGGGTTTTCTGATATGAAAAAAAAAATCAATCAATATTCAAACAACAAATCCATCAAAAACAAAAATTCAGAAAAAAAACATTTACGGTGTTCCTCTTGTCATCATCCCAAAAACATTTTTCAAAGAATATTTATTTTTTACAAAGACAATAACAACAAAATGAGAGGAGAGAAATGAAAAAAGGACCAAAAACAAAATAAGATATCAAATTTCCAACTCAATATTTTGTTTTCTTTTTCACAAACTGGCTATATTCCAAGTATAATGAACCGTAAATTGAAGCAAAAAATTCAAACATAATCAATAGAGTTTGGAGTTCGAAGAAGGCAGGCAGACAGTCGAAGAGGGACTTCAAGTTCGCTTCGAAGAAGACAAAAGATGTGGGAGTCCAAGACGGGAGTGTAAACTAAAAAAGAACACCAAAATAGTACCCAAAAACCAATTTCCAATAATTCTTTAACCCTAACTTCTATTCCGCTTTACAGCGAAATCAGAGCAAATGAGAAGCAAATGACAGCAACTACGTCATAATCTCAAAATGTTCCACACCAAAGACAATATCCAAGGACAGAACTCTTTTCACAAAAAATAAAAAAACAGAGTGACAACTATGTCATATTACTTATTCGTAGCTTTTAGCATATTTAGCCCGCTTTGGCTGTGGGTTCGATATTTGTTTTGCCTTGCTTCATCTCCCAAGTTCACATGACATTGAAGTTACCTTACCTACCACTACCTTCTAAGCAAAAACAAAAAACACGGTTATGCAAACTTCTTGGACATGCTTCATAGCCAAGAGCAAGAGGACCAGTTTAATAGAGGAGAAACGGAGCCAGTTGAAAATTAAGCAGAAAACTTATTTGTGTCATATTAAATTTATTTTCGCAAATCTTCATGTGGAGATGACAGTTTTATACCAAGGGAAGTTAATATTTTTTTTCCTCTAAATTGGGCATTTTTTTAATAAGGCAATGAGGTATGGTTTTTGTTTTGAGCAATGTGGGTGGTCTTGGTTAGTTATAAAGAGAATTTGAAGATTGAAGAGATGGCGGGGAGAAATATTAGGGGTAAAACAAGACTGGGCCGTTATTCTTAGACGGGATAGCTAGTCTTTATAAAGATCTAGTCTCTATAAAGACCTCTGGTCTCTATAAAGACCTCTGGTCTCTACAAAAGACCTCTGGTCTCTATAAACACCTCTGGTCTCTATAAAGACCTCTGGTCTCTATAAAGACCTCTGGTCTCTATAAAGACCTCTGGTCTCTATAAAGACCTCTGGTCTCTATAAAGACCTCTGGTCTCTATAAAGACC